TAGATTTGTTAGACTTTAAAACAACTGACTTACCTTTCTTTTGAGGCTCGTCTTCCTCTAGTTCAATCTCATGACTCCTCAAGGAGCTGATCAGTTCTTCCAGCGTGATCTTGTTCAGATCCTTCGCAAGCTTCAGAGCTGTGACCATTGGTCTCCAACTGGTTGGCAAACTTTTGATGATCTTTTTGACATGATCAGCAGTGGAATAACCCTTGTCCAAAACTTTCAAGCCAGCTGTGAGAATCTGAAATCTAGAGAACATAGTTTCTACAGATTCAGACTCCTCCATTTTGAAGGCTTCATATTTCTGGATCAGCGCCAGAGCCTTGGTCTCCTTAACTTGTGAGTTCCCTTCATGAGTCATCTTCAGAGATTCAAACATATCAAATGCAGTATCTCTGTTTGTTATTTTCTCATACTCTGTATGAGATATTGCATTTAATAAGATGGTTCTTGCTTTGTGGTGGTTTCTAAACTCCTTCTTCTGAAGATCAGCCATAAATTTCCTGTCAATCTTTTTCCCTTCATCATTGGTAGGATGAGTGTAACCATCAGTTACTAAATCCCACAAATCAGCATCATAACCCAGAAAGAAGCTTTCTATTCTGTCTTTCCAGTAGTCAAACTTCTCACCATCAAACATGGAAGGTTTGGTGCTAATTCTATCTTTATCATCGTATCTGTTGTTGTAAGAAGTTGAAGTAGAAGCTTCAGCAGCCATGATGAATAAAGAACAAGATGTAAGAAGTTTTTCTCAACTGGATCTTTTCTGTTCACGGTGAAGTGAGAGCACTAATAGAATCAGAGCTCTGATGCCAACTGAAGGTGAGAAAAATACATAGAAGGGGGGGGGGGGGTTGAATAAGGGTTTAGAAAAATTATGGCAATAAAAACAACACAAGATTTTTATCCTGGTTCGTTGAACTCAACTAATCCAGTCCACCCTATCAAGGTGATTTGCCTTTCTCCACAAGGACTTAATCCACTATATTCAAACAGATTACAGTGTCAACCACTAAGAACAACTGTCTTAGTCTTCTCAAGAAATTCTGACCACAACTTGGTTTTCTTAAGGAACCTTTTACAAATTAATGTAAACTAAACAAGTGTTTAAGATGCTTCTAAAAAGCTATATCATAAACTGTGATTTTTACACTTAGTTTAAGAACGAATAAAAACTATTCAGCTTATGAAATGAAATTGTATGAGAGCTTGAGAGTAGTTTTGATTTGATTTCTCAGTAATTTGTCAATGATTCGTTAACCTTGAAATGTTGTTGAAGACATCCTTTTATAGGCTGAAAGTCCAATGCTTGAAGACCGTGCACTGCTGAGTAGCTTTTGCCTTTTGTCTTCTATTGACTCTAGCTTTCCCAGAAGAGGAATGTTCAGACAAATCCCTGTTGTCTGATTTCCTGTGCGATACATGAATAAGGAAAGAGTCGTTTGGAATATGCCAACGAATATATCTTTGAATAATATTTTCTTCAACAATGCTTCTGTCTCAAAGTTATCAACATCAGAGTCTTGATGTCATCAGAGTTTTGCAGCCAGTGCTTTCAGCGTGAGTATCACTCAGAGCAGAGTTTGAATAACAAAGCCTCTGTACTTGCAGCGTAAAGTACTTCAGAGTCTTCTTGAAACAATTCTTGAAACTCTTCATACAAATTCTTCAACTACGCTTCAGAGTCTTCTGCAGCTTCTGCTTCAGAGTCTTCTAGCAGCGCTCAGAGTCTTCTGATCACTTGCTTCTGATGCTTCAGAGCTTTGCGTAGAATACTGTTCAGATGCATTTTTGCTTCCATAAAAATATTTATTTTAATATCTGAAACAAAAACACTTGAACAAAATTAGAGTATATATTTTCTTAATACAAAATTTCATTAGATTTATCATTAAAACATAGAGATATAATTAAACACCAATTTGTGTTCTAACAGTTAACACCCCTCACATTCATCATACTCGATGGGAATCATTCGCTTGTCTTGTGTGTAAGGTTGTTGCTAAGGGTATTGTTTTCTAAAAGTGCTCTATTAAAAGGAAAAGGAAACAAAGATTGTGAAAGAAAGTGATGAAAGAAAAGAAAAGGTGGGGAAAAGAAAAAGGGGGGTTGATGGCGATGCCCAAGGCGATCGACTTATAACGGTGAAAAACATACAAGGTTAGTTTGGGGTCTAATGGAGAAGATAATATGAGAATAAAAAGAGGGGAGAAAACCTAAGGTGTAATCCAAGTTAATGAGTTTGAAAAATGACTTGACGTTGGATCAAGCCTTATTTGTCATTTGTTTTGAAATTGTCTTCTAACTTGATTTGTTTTATCTTTCTTAACAAGCAAGCAAGCAAAGATAAGGAACACAAAAGAACTAAGTTATTACATTGTGATGGGGAGAGGGGAACATAATGAACCTACCAAGGGGGAAGATGATATGTAAAGTAAAGCAAGAAAAAAAGGAGTGGATCAAAGATGAAAGAAGCATGTCAAAGAAACACAAGGTAAGAAGGTTATGTTCGAACTGCAGTAAAGCGGAAAGAAGGAAAATTTTAGTTTTGAAGGAATCCCCACAAGGTTTATATCATCTCCACAGGGATCGGTGCAAGGGAAAGAACGTCGTTCAACAGTCCCTACATTTGTAAGCTTGTTGTGCAAAAGTTTAGGGTAAAAAGTTCAAGGACCTAAAAATAAAGGCAGAAAATATAAGGACAGAAAATATAAAGTAAAGACTGAATTATAAACGGAGCCTTGTTGGAATTGGATGTCATCAATTGATAACACATAGATTCTTCTAATCATGTTATACAGAACTCAAACTTTCGTCTAATATCATCACATATCACCCACAACAGAGGTTATGTTTAACGCAAAGTCGAGAGGCTAACTGTATTGTCTTATCAGTGATATCTCACGCAACAAAACCAACACATAGCATTAGAAACTAGTACTCATGTGAATGTTCAACCTAAGTCTATGTCTAGAGTTTAGATCCAACAAATATTACTATAACATCCATATCAAACTAATGATTTGATTCATATATAACACCATGATCAGAATAAGTACACATGATTAACCATTTTTACATGCATTCACTGGATCTGCCAAATGCATGTGAACATCGTTCTTCATCACTATTATCATGCATCCTCGCAATACCGTTTGTCAAGCGTTATTGCGGTCTTTATCGTATTGATCTTACTCATGCTACTTAATCAACGCAATAAAATAGAAATTATGCAAATGAATATCAACTTACAAAACCATGTCAAAAGTTTGCTCATTGATAAATGAAAATCTAAGATCAAAGATTTGAAAAGATCTTTGTCAAGACCCACAAATAAGCAATCAAAGACAATCAACAATAGAGAATCAACACTAGTTCACAATACATAAATTAGATGAAATACATAAGGTATCAAAAGATTACATCTAAACCTAACAAGAGATTGAAGATCATACCTTATCCCCTTTAGGGTTTGAGTTTCTCTCTCTAAAATATGCTTGAAATGAAAAGAGATAAAATTTTGATATGAAAATATGTCATATGTTTCTAAAAAGCAAGAAAAGTACTTATATAGTATTTACAAAATCTGTCATGTTCGCACTGCAAACTATCTATTTGCCTAGCGAAGTCCCCTGTTTGGTACCTTAAGTGCCTCAGGAATAATTAATCTGCCCTTGGAAAATATCTGAGTTCGCCGTGCGAGCAATTCTTCGCACTGCGAACTACATCGCTACAAGTTCGCACAACGAACTTTAGGTCCTTTGGCTACTAACTTCCAAGGTTTCCTCCTCGCTGGGACCTTGCTGATACTTCGCCTAGCGAACATTCGCTGGCTGCTCGCTACTGTTCGCTCGCTACTCTCCTACGATCTTTTCATTTATTTATTTTTTTCACATCCTAACCATATTCCTCTTTGTTGGATAATAACAAAGACTTATACACACATGAGCTAGTAACCCACATTCATTTGGACTACTCCAAATATGAGAGATAGCCCAATAGAAATTTTAGAGTGTATTCACTAACAATCATAGCCACTTGAAGCTATACTACTCAAAGAATTTTAACATTGTCTTCACTTATAATCATAGTTCAAAACTATCATTCTCAAAAAAAAATTATAATCACTTGAAGTTAAACCACTCCAAAATTTTTTATATTGTCTTTACCAATAACCACAGTCCAAAAGAACTACCATACTTCATCTTCGAGAATTCATATCATTTGACCAAACCTAAAACCCATATATCAATTGTTGGAAAAACCGACATAGAGAAAATAAAGAACATGATCACATCACAAGAATATATCATGAAAACTATAAAACTGGAGAAAAAACCATGGTTATTGTCAAATAACAACTAAATAATAACATTAAGTAAAAACCATGGTTATTGTCAAATAACAACTAAATAATAACATTAAGTAAAAATTATTACAACACATAAATTGTCTTCGACCACCACCATAACCCCTATACAATCACACTCTCCAAATATATAACTACATTTCACAACACGCTGATACAACAATATATTAGAAAAGAAAAAAAAAAGACAAATTTTACGTACTTTTAACTGATGCATTTGTAATGTGAAACGAGAGCCTATTATATAACTCAATACTTATTTTTATTTTTTTTATAAAATTAAACAATATAAAACTTTTTTAACATAAGTATTTGCTTTTTAAAAAAAACAAATAGTTGTAAAATTTACCATAGAGACAACTAAACCAAATGTGTAGAACACAAGATGGAAGTGATACCAATAAAGGCACACATAGTATATTTTCTATTTATCTTTAAAGATTTACATAAGAGTCCATGCAGTAATGGTATAATCAATGGATGACATCTTAGTCAACATTTAAAAAAAATCCATAAGAATAAATAACCCAAGAACCTTGAATGCCCTTCAAAAGGAGAACCTATATCACCCAAACCCAAAAATTCCCAAAAGAACAAAGAATCACTTTCTTTTTTATGCTTCATTCCCTTAGGGACATTTCACATTTCTTCCAGGTCCACCATAATAAAAGTAATTCCCCCAAACATTATTAATTCCTCCTTGTATATCATAGCAATTTGGATGATCTGCTAGAACCCTAAGATTTGACAATGGTATCAAATTGTTATCCCAATCCACAACTTGCAAATTTCTAAAATAGGATGCTTTTCCAAAACCTTCTCTAGCAAAATGTCCACTTCCCATTTGAGTTGAAGTGTGTGACCCTTGATTCGAATTCACAATTTCCCCGCCAAATTGTACCATACTCGCATGATCTCTTAAATGCGTAAACAAAAAGGAAGGCCAGTATCCGACCAGAATCCCCGATCCAAACTCGAGCCACCAATTTCCATGCTTTGGATCCTAAAAAAACAATAATAGCATAAACAAAACCTTCGATGGCACTTCTTCTTTTGTTACATTTTTGTGTCATGTAACAAAGCAAAACAATTCAAATAAAGAGAGACATAATTATGAATAGCAACATGCTAGCTTGGTTGGTAAGTGAAATAGGTCAAAAAGAGAAGTAAGAAAAAGTGTGAAGAGTATTTACAAAATGTTATGAATCTTTTTATATATTAAACAATAATAAAATGATGATCAAAAGAGTGAAGAGTTCAGAATTAGAAGCTCTTTTGTTGGGAAAAAGAAAGAGAATCTTAAAAAGAAAGGAAGCATAATAAGGAAAAACACAGTTCATTATTCGAATTCACTAGCATGCGTGTAATGTCCCAAAGTATATATAAATTAAAGTGACAAAAGTGGTGCATGTTAATTACGACTGAACATTGCACAACACATTCATTTTTGTCTCTTTTCTAAATTTAAATTTTTATAAAATTTTTGCAATGAAAAACATAAAATAACTTACCCTATGCTTCTTCTAATATTCTATTTCACAAAATTCAATGGTTTTTGTTAGTTCCAAAATAGTGGAGGCCCTACCATTGAATATTTTTTAATCATTTTGTTTTATTTATTATTTGTTTTTGAGTTTCTTTGAAGCTTTTGACCATGGAATTTGAAGACTTTTATGAATATAGTAAAGTATTCAAAATCAAAGGGTATGAATCAATACTTTAGTGAAATATTTTATTCTCTTTAGGTGGGGCCTTTAATGTGATCCATCAATATGGTTGTTGTATTTCAACTAACTTGTATATACTCAAGATTTTTTATTTTTAAATTTAAAATACTCAAAATATTATTCCTTTTTATAAAACTTGTGTGACAAAGTTTAGCTTTTCAAATCAAACACTAAACCCTCAAACTATGCACTAAAAAGAAATTAAAAAATAATAGCAAAATTAAGTCTTTAAAAAATATAAATTTTCAATAGTTTTCTTATGTAAATATTTTTATAGAACAAAAATTAAAAATCACCTTCCAAATCAGCAAACTAATATCAAATTGTCCTCCTGTATAAGCCGAAGTCGGAGATATTGCAGCTCCGATTGCTATTTTATTGTTAGTTTGAACAAAACCCGAACAAAGTAAATTGTAACATCCAGTAGCTTGATAAGCATCACTCTGCAAATAATATTCAATATTATTTATTATAATTTATTTTTCATAATTGAAAAACTTTTTATAGCTATCTTATCTTACACTTCAAGCAAAGGTTCATAATAATATACTATAGTATATAATATAATTTTTCTATTTTTTTTTTTCCTTTATAAAGTTTACTTACCGTCCAATAAGTAAAGAATCTAGGGTAACTGTCCCCATAGAGCTCAGGGCTGACCTGAAAAAAAATAATTTAAATTAAATTTTTTTGGCTAAAAAACAAAATATAATTCATGAAAAAAATTGTATGGTAGGTAGTTGAGCATTGTAACTATCTTTGAATGGTAACCAAATATATAAGAGAATAATTGAAACATGCCTGCCAACCAGCTTCAATGGTGTTTAAATCATCCCCAAATGAACCAGAAATTACCCACATTTGGGATAAACTGAATTCATATTGATTTGCAACTCGTGGGGCCCACACATTTATGCTTGCTTTTGCTCCATAGTATTGATTTCCAGTCACATACCCAACTGCATGCTATTCACCAATAAAAATTATTGTTAGAACTTTACTTCGAAGTATCCGAACCTGACATTCACATTGACTCTGATATATTAACATCGATACAAAAAGAAGAAGTTAAATTAGGGTTGTTTTAAGTTTTTGAAGATCGAGTAAATTAGTTATAGTTTAATTATGACATTGGTTTTAACATATTTTATAGAATTTTATTTAATTGTATTGAGTTGTAAATCTTACCGTACTTTGACTTCAAAGATAATTATATGTGTCAGGTGTCAAACCGATGAAATGTAATGTAAACTTTCTTTAAGGAAATTAAATGTTAAGATAGCATTTTTATGTAATTTTTTCCTTATAAGCTTAAAGCTTAAGATAGTACTATTAACTTCAAGTTGGACTTTTTGGCTAAATTTTTCTTAGACAAGACAATGTGATAGTTGAAACATACAAAGAATGGAAGGATCATTTACTTTGAAATAAGTGAAACATTAATTAGCTAAAGAATCATGAAATTTTGTAATCACTAAAAATAGGAAAAAGTTTGAAGTTACACCATCCATGAAAATCCAACTACTCAAAATTTATTGTTCATACCAAACAAGACAAGTGAATGGAACTTAAAACATGAAGAATTTTTTTTATTTTTAAAATTAATAAAAATAAAACAAGAGTTTCAATTACTTGGTCAGAAATTGCATTGCATATATATTATATTTATATATACCTCATGTCCATTGCTGTTTGTGTCCCTTCTAACACGTTTTCTTAATTTTCTTCCAAATGTGTTTATAGAATTAGCTCTTAACATGTCTTGTTCTGTTGTTCTTCGAATCGGAATTGTTCCTTCTGGACATGATTCTCCGGATGATCTCCATAACTGAAAATTCTCAGTCATCTCATCCATTTTGTTATGAGATTTAGGCCTTTCTGGTGGATCCTGCAACCATTCAAGAAAATAATAATCTGAATATTTTTTTAAAAATAAATTTCAGTCATATCTTAACTTCAAATAATTGAAATTTAATTTTTTTTGGACTAAATTTAAAATTTACCAACGGTCTTTTTCCTTTTAATAGAGGATGATCAAAAGCGGGTTGAATATGAGAAATAACGCATTCTATGATATCACCATCAGGACTCTGAAAAAATATGTGAAAAAAAACATCAACAAATTATGGTCTAAAAACAGAGTAAAAAACAGGGGAAGTAAAAAAATTTAAAGAATGAAACTTTGACATACCTGAATTGTTTTGATGGAAGGTTTATTGATCTGTTGAAGATGATTTCTTATGAAGTTCAATTTATGCAACTCTTCATTTGGTTTGAAAGTGTTATTAACAACTGGGTTGTTGTCAACTTTTGAGGAAGAAAAAACAGGACAAAGCAAAGAAAAAACAAGAAGAAAATGTACAAGGTTGTAAATGATTGGAGAAGTCAAACAAAAGCTAAAATCCATGCTTGAGAATTTTCCTTTGTTTGTTTCTATTGAAGAATCCGTTTGAATTTGTTTACATTGATCTTGTCCTCTTCTTCTTCCATCCACAAAAACAAAATTGTGTGTTTCTAGATTTTGATTGTGCCAAAGGAAACACATTTTCCACCAAAGGTAAGTTATAGAATAATATACATAAATGAGTATTCTAAGGAAGGTTGATTAGTTTTTCACTATGTTCAATGTTTTGGAAGGATGGTATATAAAAAATGGGTTTTGTTACTGACAACTTGAGGTTTCAGGCGTTGGCTGGCAGATGAATTGAAGGTTTGGCCATGTGGGTTGGAGCCCTTATAAATGCTTAGATTAGTGATGAAATCGTGCCACATTTAAAATTTTCTAGGAGTTTGTACAAGGGGACATGAATTATGGTTTATGAATAATTAGTACTGAATTTCAAAGGTATCTTTATGTCCAATATTATTTGATGGACATTATGTCAAATAAAGTATTTTGAGGTTATTTTTGTAAATCTCTATAAAAGATAGGTCCAATGTTAGAATCTCACTTGAAAAAGTTGATTATATAATAGCATAGATTAATTTTTTGAGTAGTTGAGGACAATAATAAACGATAAAAATATTCTTTTAAAATATTTAACATTATTGTTTATGACTGAGTTGAACCTAAGACATCAGATTAAGTTAAAATTCTATCCTAAAAAACATATTACTGATTCAAACTCATTCACGGTAACTTATCAAATGTTTTCATTCTCTTTTATTATGTAAATTACGCTAACAAAAGTTGTAAATAATAATTTGATACACAAAATAGTTTATGATCATGTTTATAAAAAATTAAAATAAATGACTTTTGCCGTAATTTTGTCTTAGAAATTCTCATTGAAGGTGCTATCATGAGAAAGCAATCGTTTGTTTGTTTGTTGTATAGTTTAATAATGTCCTTTTAGCAACTGTTAATCATGATAATTTCTTTTAATACATAATCTTATTTATTTGTGTTTTTATTCAATAGAAAGAAGAAAAAAAAGAGTAATATAATATCAATTATGAAAAGGATTACATTTACCATGAGTATGAGGAAAGAGAAGTAAAAAAGAGATAGAAAACAAGACATGTTTGGAGTCTAGAATACAAAGACAGAAACTTTATCTTTTGTGTTATTAGGTGTTAGTTTATTGGGGCAAAATGGGACTGATGATTTTCTGTTATTCTTTATTTTGTGTCTGAGTGAGGACAGATAGGAATTACAATTCATTCTGGGTTTCCAAATTTGCTTTTCTTTGTGGCTCTCTTTCCAAGATGTTCTGTTCTGAGTCAGCAATAACACTATGTAACACTCCACTACTGTTGTGTATTTTGGGCAACAATAAAGCTATTCCACTTAGATTTCTAAGACATATACTGTATATAAGTTCCTATTCTGTTATGATAATATTGGGAGGATTTGAATAAGTTAATTACATTTAGAAAAGTCAATAGACATGATCTTATGAAAAAGCAAGTAGGAATGACAATGGGGAGGGTCGGTGAGGGTCGGGGGCGGGTTTTACTATACTGCACCCGCACCCGTCTCCATGTAACACACCCGTCTCCGTCCCCAAATTCAATCGGGAGTAAAAATTTACCGCCAAGACCCGTCCCAGTAGAGAACGAGTGCTCCCGCACCCGCCCGCCCCCACTCGAAAAAAAATTAATTAATTTTAATTACAATAAAAATTAATAATTTAATTAAAAAATTAATTATTTTAATAAATTAATTATTTATTTAATTAAAATTTTAATTAGTAAATGAATATTAATTTGATTAATTTAATTATTTTAATTGTAATAAAGGTATTAATAATTTAATTAAAAATATAATTAATAAATGAATATTAAAATAAGTAAAATAAAAGAATTAAACTAAAATGCATTATTCGGGTGCGGGGCCGGGTGCGTGCGGGTCTTAGTGTCTCCCCGCACCCATAATTAAAAGTCGGGTTTTCCCCGCTAATTTCGAGGCGGGGCCCGACGGGTCTGGGTTTTTTCGCCATCCCTAGGCAATAGTCTACAAGATTAAATTGTTTACTTAAACATATATTGGCTGACAATTTCACCCATCCTTAATGAGCACACACAATATTATTTATATTTATAGAAAGAGTAATAATCCAGAAAATTGAATACGGGTATAGATTCGCATAATTATCTAATAAATTAAGTGGGATGTAGATATGAAAACTTTGATACCTACCCCGCCTTATATTCGTCCAATACATATTTATATATTTTAATTTATATTTGCTCTGAATTAGGCCTGTGGCTGACTCAATGTCGAGGACAACCCAATCTAGTCCTATGTCGAAGACGGTCCAGAGTTCAGACCCAACCCATTAGGGCCAGTAGAAAACACATTCCCCACGTGTTCCTCATCCGAGGAAACGTCACCAACCGACTTGCACGCCTCGTGGAACCTTTTCGCCCTTCGTAATGGGCAAGTTCGTCCACTAACCGAGGAATGCAGAGCGGTTGACTCAGAATGATGAGCACAAACTATTCATCCCTACTTCCACGTAAGAATCCTAGTAGTCATCTGTTATGGGCTTGAATAGTCAACCCATAACGGAGACCATTGGCCCAACGCTGGTGGCTCACTATAAAAATCCTTCTTTGCAAGAGGGTTAGGTATTATATTCTTACAATTTCTTACTCACCTATCCGCCCGAACTAACTTAAGCATCAGAGTGTCTGCAGGTACCCCCTCTTTCTGTCAACCGTCAAGACCGCGGACGTGTTGCTGGCCACCTATTTTGATTGACAGGTTAGATCAGTGGCACCGTCTGTGGGAATCTTGTTTCCCCATCTTTTCTTTCCTTGAAACCAAGAGATTAAAACAAAAAACTTCAACAACCAAACATGGCCGATCAACACGACGACAACAACGGTCACGAAACCATCCTCTCTCTCGTCCATGACGCCAACAACAACAAAAAAGATATGCAAATTCTGGAGGAAGACACTCCAACGACGAGAGACAGGAACACCGCCTCGCCCTCCTCTGACGATGCAGTCGATAATGACGTCCATTGCGTCGAGACCTGCAAAGTCCAAAAAGCTCTGGAGAAGACGCCGGAGAAGTTCCAACCAATCTCGATGCCGGCCAACGCCGATCCGACCATGGCGGCCCTAGTCGCGGCCCTTAACTATACCAACGCACTGATCTACCAACAAAATGAGAGGATCAGAGCATTGGAGAAAGACTGTCGTGCACGCTCTCCCCCGCGGAGACACCAATGATATGAGTTCTAGACTCGTCGCCGCCCGCAGTTGGAGAGGCCACAACCCTTGAAGCATAATCGTACTCCTCCCCGCGAGGACCGACGCTCCCTGGTTGCAAATAAAAGCAAAGCCATCGGACGACCAGATAATGTCGTTCGCCCCCGCGCAAATTGAATGGCCGACTAAAAGACTCACTACCACATTGCGATGACAACCCTCAGTGAGAGAAGTACGACTACTCACCGCTCCGGAGTGACGAAGATGACCCCCGCAGTCCACTATCTTAAGCGATCATGGACGCTCCCCTTCTCGTCAGGGATGGAAAAAAACCCGAACCTGGGGACATACGATGGAACAACATATTTCGACGAGCACATCAAAAACATCGATGAGTTGCTCGATTATCACGGCGTCAGAGGTGTCATCAAGTGCATATTGTTCCCCACAATCTTGAGGAAGGGTGCCATGATATGGTACAAGAGCCTCGCTGAAGAGTCCATCACTTCTTGGAGGGACCTAAGAAGGCAGTTTTCAAGACACTTCACCACTTCTCGTCGTCATCTAAAGTTGGAGGTGACGCTCAAAGCAATCACGCAGGGGAAAGATGAATCCTTCCTAGCCAACATTGAGAGGTTCAATCGAGAAGTTGTCCATGTCTCCACAATCGAAGACATGAAGAAGCATTTGCTTGAGTGGGGAATGCACCCCCATAGTGACTTCGCCAAGGTCGTAGATATTGAAACACACACATCGTTGAATGCCCTCCTCCTTAAGGCCCAGGCCTAAATTCAGTACAAGGAGAAAGAAGTTTCCAAAAATGCTCGAGACTCGCGATATCAGGAAAATGCCAGAGTTTCGAGGCACGATGACCTAATGGAGCCCCGCCAAGGAGGAGATAAGAGGAAATAGGATAAACCTTGTGAGTCTCAGAAGTACAAAGGACATGCTGACCGTTTTGCCGAGTACACGTAGCTGACCGCCTCTCGCGACCGTTTTCCTAGGCTGGAGTCTGTTTTCCATGGAAAACACCTCCTAAGCCTACCGTAAATAAGACCAAGTATTGTTGCTTCCACAAGAGCCACAGGCACGTCACTGAAGATTTCATCCACCTGAAGGATGCAATTGAAATCCTCATTAGAGACGGGCACCTGAAGCGGTACACCAAGAAAAGATAAGCTCCTCGGCAAGATGCCTGGGAAGCGAAGAAGGTCGAGGAGGAGAAACCACCCTTTGACGACACCACAAACCTGCAAATCGCCATGTCCATCTCCTAGCCTGAGTACTTCTACGTCCCCGACGAGGCCGAAAACCCCCTCCATTTGGCAACGCAGAGCACATGGGAAACCTTCCCCTCCACCATGGTCATATTTGGTAGGGGATTCAACAAACTCACTGTAGGATCGGTGAAAAGGAAGTTCGAGCAACTCATTGATGCGAGCTCGAGCCAAAACTCGACTCTCGAAAAATGTCGGGGAAGCTTAGTTCCTATCACATTCTACCGCGAGAAGCTCCCCAGTAAATCCCCCAACTTTAGCATCTCGCTGCTTGTGAGAGCACGAATGGCGAACTTTGACATTCGTCGCATTCTTGTCGACCAGGGAAGCTCGGTCGAGATCATGTACTCTCAGCTGCTCTTGACGTTGCAGCTCGACGAAACGCACTTGGCACCCTATGTGGGCTCTGATCTGCAGGGCTTCAATGACGCGACCACAAAGCCGTGGGGTTATGTCGAGCTAATTTTCATGGTCGGAACGGTCGAGACCACCAAGTAGATCAAGTCCAATTCCTAGTCATAGACTGCCCTTCTCTATACCAGTGCATCTTGAGAAGACCAACTATGGTCGAATTGATCGTTGTGCCGTCTACTGTTCGTTTGAA